GAAAAAGACTTTGGATGTTTTGCATGAACATTTCTTTTGGCCTAAAATGAAACGTGATGTGGAAAGAATCTGTGCTAAATGCATAACTTGTAAAAAGGCTAAATCTAGAGTCTTGCCACATGGTTTGTACACCCCATTACCTGTGCCTAGTGAACCTTGGGTAGATATATCAATGGATTTTATTTTGGGTTTACCTAGGTCAAGAAAGGGTATGGATTCCATATTTGTGGTTGTAGATAGATTTTCTAAAATGGCACATTTCATTGCTTGCCATAAAACTGATGATGCCACATACATTGCTGATTTGTTCTTTAAGGAAATTGTAAGACTTCATGGTGTTCCTAAAAGTATTGTTTCTGATAGGGATACAAAATTCTTGAGTCATTTTTGGAGGATTTTGTGGGGTAAGCTGGGTACTAAATTATTGTTTTCTACTGCTTGTCATCCACAAACTGATGGACAAACTGAGGTAGTTAATAGAACTTTAACTCAATTGCTTAGAACTGTGATTCAAAAGAACTTGAAGAATTGGGAAAATTGCTTGTCATTCATTGAATTTGCTTACAATAGGAGTGTGCACTCATCTACTGATTATTCTCCTTTTGAAATAGTGTATGGTTTTAATCCACTAACTCCCTTGGATTTATTACCATTGCCTATTGATGAGAGGGCCAGTCTTGATGGGACAAAAAAAGCTGAAACAGTGAAACAACTTCATCAAAAAGTGAAACAACAAATTGAAAAGAAAAATGAGCAATATGCATCCAAGGCTAACAAAGGAAGAAGGCGTGTTCTCTTTGAACCTGGTGATTGGGTGTGGGTGCATATGAGGAAAGAAAGATTTCCAGCTCAAAGAAAGTCCAAATTAGCTCCAAGAGGAGATGGTCCATTTCAAGTGCTTGAAAGAATCAATGACAATGCTTACAAAATTGATTTACTTGGTAAGTATAATGTTAGTGCTACTTTCAATGTGGCTGATTTATCTCCTTTTGATGCAGGTGATGATTCGAGGTCGAATCCTTTTGAGGAGAGGGGGAATGATGCGATACAGCAAGCTAACTCCTCAACTTCCAATGATCCATTGCAAGTCCCAACTGGACCAATCACAAGAGCAAGAGCTAAAAGAATTAAGGAAGCTTTGAGTGGGCTAGTGCAAGACACCTTGACAAAGCAAATGGCATTTATTGGAGTATCAAATCTGGATAAAAATGCTGAGGATGTCACTAATGTCATTTGGGCTGAAAATGGAGCTACTGATCATATCTTGGGCTTGGAGACTTCAATTTAAGGAGCTTGGATCAAGTACAACACATGAGAAGACTCATTTGGGCCTAATTAATCATATTTTGGGCTTGATATGCTGATTATATTTCATTAAATGCATTTGTGCGAAAATTCATAATTAGTTGGCAGATTTGACTTTTGAATTTCCAAGTTACCTAAATCAAGTCCTTATGAATTTATTATGTTTTGATTTTCTAGATTGCATTTAATGCTTTTTAGGTCAGATCTTGAATGTATCCTCTATAAGATATTGTAACCCTCATTTTGGGAGGAGATTTGGAATTTTGAATGAAAACTTGCATTTTGCAATTTCTGATTGAGAGGAGTTCTCTCTAGGGTTCTTCATTGAACTAACAGACTTATCAAGGCTTGATCAACCTTGTGGCGTCTTTCAACACTTCGGGTCCTTGTTCTTCCGTGTTCAAGGGTTCAAGTAGATCACCAGACCTTTGTTTACGTTCTTGGGGTGCGTATATTCAGATCGGTTGTGGGTTCGTGGGATTTTTCCCTTGTGGGTTCTCACCAAATATGGATGGAAAAAATATAGGGACAATCAAAATCCCATCAAATTTCAAGCACTAACAAGGGAAAATGACATTGAGGTTCTATAGAAGACAAAATATTACAGAAACGTCTCAGGAGACTTGGTAATAAATCTAAGGTTTTAAAGGACCCTAAGTGCAATTTAGTGAAGTATGAAAAGACATCTCTGCCCATAGTAAGATGCAACCAAAACTGTTGAAAATTGCTCTAATTTAGATTGAGAATTAGCACTCTATTAGCAAAAGCCAAGAGGAAAAACAAAGCCAAACTTCATCGTGTTCCTTTCCCATACTCATATGAAAATCTTGCCCACTTCACTTGCATCAACCAGTGGTAAAACGCGCTTGTGTTTATGGTTTTATCTGTGTTGGTAAGTTAAGTTTGGGTTTTATGATGGATGGCTAGGATGATTATGGGTGCTCTGTTTCTTGGTATATTGTGGATCGATTGAGAGTGGGTTTGCTCTATTTGGCCATAATTCACTATGAATTGATGAAAAATGAAGATTGATGTGGGTAGAAACCCTTCCCACGAAATGGGAGAATCTATTGTCAATATAGGTCACGACAGTTATCAGTATAGTTACTTGACTTGTTAATGATAACTATATCATGTAGGTTTACATTATTTGGTTTTGTTATGTTTTTGAGATAAAGACCATGACCTTTTATGTCCTTGAATTATTGGTAGAGGTTACAAAAGGAGGAAAAAGAGATAATGAAGAAGGGTGAGCAGCAATATGAGGTAAAAAAAGAAAAAGGGCAAAAAAAAATTTTGAATCCAAACAAATGATGGCTAAAGAGAGTTTTTTTTTTGTAAATAGAAGTGACAGGAATTTTTTCCAAATGTCACAATACACACCACGCCAACTGTTAGTTTAATATTGGATACATTCAACTATATATATATATATTTTAAATGGATTTAGTTTGATATTAGCTACATTCAACTATATGTTTTTTTCAATGGGTTGTGTAATTGGTGTGATTACGTATATGTGAAGTTATAAATTAAAGTTGGCCACAAATTGATATGTTAAATTTTGATGCGTAATCAATTGTCATTATTTATATCCTTCATTGTGAATATACCTTTCGTCACTTGTCACTCATGACACTATTAGTTGTTAATTTATGTGCTAATATGAGTTTGAAAAAAAATGTGATTTTAAATTATATAATGTCATACGATGTCATATAACATCATCAATTCCTCTAGATTTCAGTAATACATTCTAGTTATAGTGTGATATAAGATGAGATGGTATTTCTATTTTAAGTAAAATATAATTGAATTGCAAATTTGAATCAATGTTTCTCGCATCAATTGTTAATATTTGCATCCTGACTTGTTAATAGTAACATTATAACTTAGGCAATTTTCTTATTGACATATGTGATTTTGAGAATTAGTCTACCTTTTTATTTTAAAAAAATAAATAACATAACAATGACAGGACATGAAGACAAGGAGAATCACTGTAAACAAAATTCAATATGTAAAGATAAGATAGTCCTTATTGAAAACCATATCAAATAAAGTAACTTAGGCTAACAAAAAAACTTATGTATTAGTCTGAATATTACTCCTCCGGTCCTTAATATAAGACTCAATTCTTGAGTTGATTTTGGTATTAAATGTAAGACCCATTTCTTATATTTATTAATTTTCTCTAAATTACCCATATAGATATTCCCTCAACCATAATCAAGTAGAAGAGGGAGAGGGGGTATTAAGAAAGATGATTATGGTGTTTTAGAAAAAATGTGTCACTTTTTTTTATAATTAACTGACTTACCTAACTTCCTTAATCTAATTAAATTAGTTAATGGGTCTTATATTAAGGACTATAGAGTATATAATTTGAAATCACATTTTTCAACTTATATCAATAGATAAATTTACAAGTGATTTTGCAACTATTGACAAGCCAAACTACAACCATTAAGAATTGAATGACAAGTGATTTTATAATTTCATATTAGTGATAATTGACTGTTAATAATGATTCTATATCATATTATAATCAAAATGTATTATTTTAGAAAAACTGATATTATATAAGGTCCTATGACATTATGTAATTTGAAATCATATTTTTTTCAAACTTATATCAGCACATAGATTGATAACTGAGAGTGCCATGAGTGACAAGTAAAGAAGGATGTATTGACATTGAAGAGTGCAGATAGTGACAACTTTTGCATCAGAATAATATATAACCAACTTTCATTTATAGCTCATATACATGTAATTATACTAATTTTACAACCTATCGGGAAAAAAACATACATTTGAATGTATATAATATCAAACTAACTGTTAGTGTGTATTGTGACATTTACAAAAAATTCCTGTCACTTCTATTTACAAAAAATTTTCTTTAGTCATCATTTGTTTTGGTAAAAATGAATTTTCTTTTTGCTCTTTTTCTTCTTTTACCTCATATGGTTGCTCATCCTTTTTTATTGCCTCTTCTTAATGAGTCAAGAGCATAGAAGGTCATGGCCTTCGTATAAAAAACATAACAAAATCATTCAATATAAACTTGCATGACATAGTTATCATTAACAATCCAAACAGCTATATTGACAACTATCACGGCTTATATTGATAACAGATTCTTCTATTTTGTAATAAGGGTTTTTGCCCATACCAATCTTCATCTTTTTTATCAATTCCCATTGATTCAATCTCAAATAGAATAAGGCCACCCTCAACCCACCCATAATAAGCCCACCCGTAATCATAGTATCCATCTATTATAAAACCCAAACTTAAATAACCAATACACACAAAATGAAAAATACAAGTAATTTTTTTTTCATGGTTTATGCAAGTAGGGCAGGCAAGATTTTCATATAAGACCGTGGAACATGATAAAGTTTGGGTTTGTTTTTCCTCTTGTCTATTGCTAATAGGGGGTTGATTATCAGTCTAAAACAAAACAGCTTTTAAGAGCTTTGGTTGCTGGGACATAGATGTTTTTTCTTACTTTACTAAATTGCATTTAGGTCTCTTTAGGACTTCAAATTCATTATCAATTTTTTTTGAGATTTTTTTGCTACATTTTGTATTTCATGTCAGTGTCATTTTTCCCACTAAAAATCTTATTGGCCCTTCTTTTTTTTCCGCCGGAGGAGGGCTGTTGGGTCATTTGGAAGGAAAGCGGGAAGAGATATAAGCAGCTCCTGGTCAGACAACACATTTCAAACAGAAACCAACTTCCTCTGGAAGCTCTCTTCACTGTTGACTTCTCCCTCCAATGGCCCGAAACAAGGCAAATCTTTCGCAACTTTGCTTGTTTCCATTTCACCTTCCAAGTTAAATTGTATTTTCCTTTTTGTAATCCGAAGGGTTTAGGGTTTTTCCCTTCTTATTTTATGACTTTATGAACTCTTTTAAAAACTTGGCTAAATTTTGACTTCTGATGTTTTGCATATACGCAGCTTCTGCGAACTGGCATAGTTATTTATATTTTTGTTTTTCGGCAAATGCATTACTATTTCTTTTGATCATTGTTATTATATTCTGGAATCAGGAATCGTTGCTTTTGCTGCTTGATGTGGGTCCTTCAATGCACAATGTTCTTCCTGATGTTGAGAAAGCCTGTTCCATGCTGATTGTTAAAAAGGTACTGCATACCGATTTTCACAATTTTCTAGTCTTTTCATTTTTTCTCCTGTTTTGTTTTCTAAATTCCAATAACTTACCCGTTAAATATTTTCAGTTGATGCATGGCAAATATGACGAAGCTGGAATTGTCTTATTTGGAACAACAGGTATTTTGATCAAGCCAGACCACACTGCTGGCAAAACACACGGGATACTTATTGATTTCACATGGTATTTATTAGCTTCATTAAGGGTTACGGTTGCATGGTACAAGCCAGACCACACTGTTGTTGAGAAGTTCTCGTTGTTCATCTTATTTTTTAAAATTGTTTTCATATTTTGCATGGCTATGCTTCCTTATCAGAATCGAATTTTGTTCAAAGGATCCTTTCATCTTTGTTTACATGGATGTTTTTCAGAAACTGACAACGAACTTACTACGGAAGTTGGGGGTTATGAACATGTGATGGTTTTAAAAAATATCAAGGTTGTTGATGGAGATATTGTTGACGCATTGCAGCAACTGCCTAGGGGAACTGCTAATGGTGATTGTATCCTCTAAGTTCTTGGTTTTGTTTTGGGAAATTTTCTACATTTTTATATTTGGTTTTTCTTTAATAATCTGTGCATTTGGCTGAGCAGCATTCGAATATTTTAACTACTCTATGCTACTGACTAATTATTTCAACATGACCAGTTATTATTTTGTCGTTTTGCATGTTATCTGTTTTGAGACCAGAAAGGTACACAAGTATCTGTTTCTACAGTGTAGTGCTGAGTGCTCATTGATCTGTACTTATAGATATATCTGATTCTATCGATCAACTTCCTTCTTAAAAGATTAATTTTTTTCTTTTCATTTTTTGTAGAAAATATTTTTGTTATTTTGTCAATTTGGTCTTGAACATTATTCTCTGTCTTATTGAAATAGAATCAATCTGCTTCTTGGGTATAATTGCATAAGATTGAACTTTCAAGAGGAAGTTGGACCTTTCATCCTGGTTGCGGTCATTACTTCTTCAACATGGTGTACTATACTTTTCTTGATGCCTTAACTTTGGTGGTAGTTCTTGATGCTATAATTGTTGGCATGGATATGCTGATAAAAAAATTTGGAGACACTAACACAGGAAAGAAACGTCTTTGTCTTATTACTAATGCACTTTGTCCAATAAAAGATCCGTTTGAAGGAACAAAGGAAGATCAAGTTTCCACTATTGCTAAACAAATGACTGCTTATGGCATGAGAATGGAAAGCATAATTGTGAGAGGAAAGCATGTTCATGCTGTAAATAAGAGAATAATGGATGAGAATGATAGTCTGTTAAGTATTTTTTCTAAGGAAACAGATGCCAGACTGCTATATGTGGAGGATTCAGTTTCACTATTTGGTGCTCTTAGAGCTCGAAATATATCTCTGGTTACAGTTTTCAGAGGGGATCTTGAAGTCAGCCCTAAATTGAGGATTAAGGTGAGATCTCTTAAATAATGTAAATCTTGTTGTTAGGTCTATGTTGACTGTCTTTTGCAACTGTAGTTACGATCATTTTCTAAGACAAAATACAAATTTGTACGCGTCTTCTTCCTTTTTTTTTTTTTTTTTGATATTAAATGTTGTGATTCATCTTATTAACGTCTATTGCTTCCTTGACTGAGCGTTATTTCTGGGTTATTGTAAATTCTTCTGAACTAAATACTAAGGTTGAAAGGTAGGGTTATATGAGTTTTATATAGTCAACCTAGCATGTTTCCATTGTCTGGATGTTTGCTCTCAGTCTATTTTGGTAATTGGTAATGCTGTTGCGTTTTTTAATTGAAGAAATTTTTTTCCATTAAAACATGGTCGATGATTAGGTATGGGTGTACAAGAAAACAGCAGAAGAGAAGTTTCCAACCCTGAAGAAATATTCTGACAAGGCGCCTACAAAGGATTTGTCTGCTACACATGAAGTCAAGGTGGATTTTGAGTACAAAAAATCCGAAGATTCTAAAGATGTTGTTCCACCAGATCAAAGAATTAAAGGTTATTCTTATGGGCCTCAAGTAGTTCCTATATCCTCTGTTGAATGGGAGGCTGTAAAGTTTAAACCAGAGAAGGGTGTTAAGCTTCTAGGATTTACTGATTCTTCAAACATATTTAGGTAATTATTTATTTTGATAGGTCCTGCCATCCTATTTAATTTGATTTTTTTATAAGGATGCTCTGTTGACTAATTCTTTCTTTTTTCTTTTCTGCTCTACAATGTCCAATAAAGACATCATTACATGAAAGATGTTTTCATTTTCATAGCTGAACCAGGAAATAAAAAGGCTACTCTCACGGTTTCTGCACTAGCAAGGGCCATGAAGGAAATGAATAAGGTAGCAATACTACGCTGTGTTTGGAGACATGGACAGGGGAATGTCACCATTGGGGTCTTGACACCCAATGTATCTGACAGAGAAGATATTGTGAGATTTTCTTTTCATTGTTGTATTCTTTAATATCCCTTGATTCTTTCAACTAATTTTAGGTTTCTGGGTCATGCTGTACAGATGGATTCCTTTTACTTAAATGTACTTCCTTTTGCTGAGGATGTGCGAGAGTTTCAATTCCCTTCTTTTAGTAAGTTACCAGCATATTTGCAGCCAAATCAACAGCAGCTAGAGGCAAGTGATAACTTGGTGAAAATGTTTGACCTTGCACCAGATGGTGAAGAGAAAGTTTTGCTTCCTGAATTCACGCCAAACCCAATCCTGGAGGTATATATTCTCTAAATGTTTCTCTGAATAGATTTTTGATTTGTCATTTGGCACAAATCTGTTATTGATTTGACATAATAGAATGTCAACCAGTGTAGCATTAATACACATATAATATATGATGCATTATGATATGTAAGATATGACAATTTTTAGAATTTAAAGGCATGATTATGTGAATTGATACATATATATAATTACTTAAAGTTTAAATCAACAAATCAACTGTTATTAAGGCCCGGAATATTCTTTCTATTTTTCCAGTCTGGTCCCAAAATTGGACCAAACCCAATACATATGCCAACACCACTACCAGCGCAAGGAGTTCATTGCTCTGATGCACTCATCACTCGTGCACACATCACAGACACATGCTCCAGTATAAATGCAAAACAGCCATTTTTCTAGCTTGGAATTTAGTTTTAACAAAGCCTCATTTCTTAACTTGCTCGTGGAGGCTAGACACCATTTAAATGATAGTAAAACAGATTGCATCAGGATGATTATCCTCTTTTCTCTCATAATGCCTCCTAGAGAGTGCATCAACTGCCAAATTTTCTTTCCCTTTTTATATTCAATAGTATACTCTCAACCCCTAAGTTTATGCAGCCACTTTGTTGATAAGCCAATAACTATTTTCTGCGAAGAGATGTTTTATACAAAGATGGTCTGTTTTGTTAATGGTTTCTGAGCAAGGTACTGTCACCAATAGTTCCTAGCAAATAAAATCGCAGCGAGTTCTTTGTCATGTGCTGAGAGAAATTGCTTGGAGAGAAAGTGCCTCACTCAAATAAGCGAATTGGTGGGGACGAGACAGCACCTATACCAACTCTCCTGTCTTAACGTAAGCTTTACTCCCATCACAGGAAAAATTGAGCTGTCCTAGGTATTCATTGCATCTCGCAACTGTCAGAAAAGGGTAATCTCATCTTCAAATTCTACAAAACCTCAATCAGTCAGCTAGAGTCTAGGCTGTTTCAAAAATCCAATTCTGTAGTACCTATTGATTGGAGATGCACCTAAGACAAGAATAAACTTCAAACCAGGGCTCTGCTTGTGTTGTTTGCTCTCTCTGGGTCATGGGGAGTCTCAAGTCACTGCTGTAAATGAAACCTAATGCCTTATAATCTAATATATCTGTTCTTTTTTTATTTATTTATTTTAATAAATAAGAAGTGACGATTATGTCACATGTAATTCTCCTACTTTCATGCAATTATTTGTGGTTTGAGACGCTCAAATGTGACTGGCCAAAACTCTTGAAATCCTATTAATGACTGCACACCTGTTTTCTAGGATTTCTCTCTGCTAAATTCCAGCAACTTATTTTTCTGCCAACATCGTCAGATCAGTGAATTCTAGTTTCTATGACAGCCTGTTTGGTACACTGGAAGTAATTTTGAAGGAATGAAGATTGGAAATGGTGATGAAGGTGGAGGTAGAAATGACAGTGGAAATGAGATTTAAAAGTCTGTTTGTTATGTTCACAGAAATCTGGTACAATTTTTTTATTTTATATATGTATCAATATTCTGAAAGTAGTAAAATTCCCTACCCAAAAAACAGTCCCGCCAAAAAAAATTTATCAGCCACCATTTTCAGACAATCACCATGCCTGGTATGCACTCTATCGGAAAAATCAATAATGCAGAAGAACAACACTCTAATCTCTCCCTCACAGTAAGTATCTCACTCTAAGCAGAGAAAATAGCCCAAGAGAATCTCTGAAAAATAGACTTAAATGGTATTTCACTCATATGTCAGCTAACAAGGAGGCTAACATATTTATAGATTCAAATGACACTTGCAAGAACACACATGAAATGAAGTTTTAAAAAAAAAAAAAACAAGAACAACAACCTGGACTAGTTTGGTAACTCAGTGGACCAAGTTCAACCCGGTCCTGGTCTTGGGCCTACCCAAACTGGACTAGATTGCAGACCAAAATGTTCAACCCGATACTTTTTTAGACCAGACTTCAAACTGATGCTTAACCCGGTCCAGTCCGGTTTTTGTGCACCCCTAATATGTGGCCAGTAGACAGTACCTGAAAGCCTCTTTAGAGTCTTGAGGAAGCCCCCATGTCCTCCTGTAGGTGTTAGATGAGCCTCTTCAATCAACTTAGCACGTAGTGGCGAACTCTTGGGGATGACCAGATGCCCTTGAAAGAATAGTTTCTGCTCTACCAAAGTGTGCTCTGGTTTTGTAGTGGGGTTTTCTTTTAGTGCAGTAACAATAGGGGCCGTGAATGAGTCATGCAATAACACTTCCTCCAGTTGTAGAAAGTCTGTAGGTAAGGGCACCACCATGTGTAAGAAATCAGCATGTTGAGGCCTCCTAGAAAGTGCATCTGCTCCAATGTTCTCCTTTCCAGCTTTATAAATAATCGAGAAATCAAAGGGAGGGAGTTTCAAAATGAGACACTGCTGATTGTTGGTGACCACCCGATGATTAAGTAGATTTTTGAGATTGCTATGATCAGTTTTAACTGTGAAGTGTCGACACAGTAAATAGTGGCGCCATTTTTGCAAAGCTAAGTCCAACGCCAAAAGTTCGTGATCATAGGCAGATTGATATCTATTAAAAAAAGAAAACCCTTTGCTGTAAAAAGCAAACGGATGATCCTGCTGTAATAAAATGGCTCCCACACCTTCCATAGAGGCATCACATTCAACAATAAACTGAAATTAAAGTCAGGCAATTTCAAAACAGGAGTAGATATCAATGCTAACTTTAATCTTTCAAAAGCCTTGTGAGCAGTGGAAGACCAGGTGAAAGCATTCTTCTTGGTCAAATCAGTAAGAGGCCTCGCAATTATACCATAATTCTTCACAAACCTTTGGTAATAGCCAGTAAGTCCCAGAAACCCACATAGCTCCGCTTGTACGCTGTCAATTTTCTCGAAATTAGTCTGTACTCCTTGTGCTGAAATTCTGTGGCCCAAAACAACATGAGATTGCCCCAAAGCACACTTCTTGAAATTAGCAAAATAAGAATATTGCTGTAATGTTTGGAATACCACCCTTAAATGTTCATGTTGTCTGGGAGTTGAGCTATAAAACAAGATGTCATCAAAAAACACCAACACAAATCTCCTTAAATAAGGTCTAAATAGGTCATTCATTGCAGCTTGAAAAGTGGCAGAGCATTGGTGAGACCGAAAGGCATCACTACATATTCATAGTGCCCACTGTGAGTTTGAAAGCCTGTTTTAGGGATGTCATTAGCCAAGACTTTAATTTGGTGGTAACCAGAGTGCAAATCAAGTAGCCCCATGTAATTCATCAAGAAGCTCATCAATATTAGGAATGGGGTACTTATCTGGTATAGTTATCTTGTTGAGGGCCCTGTAATCAACACACATGTGCTAGGAGTCATCTTTCTTCTTCGAGCTTGCAAACAGGCTAGAGCTGGGCCGTATAAACCCCTTTTTGAGAAGCTCCTCAATCTGTCGCTCAATCTCATTTTTTTGGGAATATGGGTATCGGTATGGCCTCAAATTAGGTGGCTGTGCGTCTGGTAGGAGGGGAATGGAGTGGAAATGCTCACGGAATGGTGGCAGGGTTGTAGGTTCTTTGAAGATAGCATCAAATTCAACATACAAATGATCTAAATCTAGAGCACCAGCACTGTTTGACCCCAATTTCAGCTCAGTGGAGACCATAGAATGTAAGCCTGTGTCTGAATGTTCAACTCGTGGGACTTCTTGCAGCTTATATTTCTTACCATCAACCCAAAAAATTAGAAACATCTCATTCTAGTTTGCTTGGATGGTGTTTAAAGACGCTAGCCACTTAATTCTCAAGACCATGTTGGAGCCCACCAAGGAAAACGGATAAAAATCTTGTTTAATTTTCATTCATGGCATATTGACTTCAAGGTCCTTGCACACATAATCACAGCGAGCCACACTCCCATCTCCAATCTGAAAATCGAGAGTAGAAATAGTGCTAGTGGGTAGCCGCAATTCATTTACCAGCGATGCAGAAATGAAATTGTGGGTTGACCCAATATCGACTAGTAGCGAAACCTCTCGATCATAAAGCTTACCACTGAGCTTCATATTAGCAAAAGTGGGGCGTTTGAGGATGGCATTGAAAGAAATCTTAGCAGGGGTAAATTCTTCTTCTCCTGTTCCTTCCACGGGCTCCTTAGCTTCTGGCACTGGGTTGCCTTCTTCATCAATCTCTATCAGGGAAAACAATCCAGAGCAGCTGTGCCTTGGTCTAAACAGCACACCATATCGGAAACACAGACCCTTATCCTTCCATCGTTGTCGCTTGTCTTCCATGAAAGGTGTTTGGTTCGGGAGGGTGTGTGTGAAGACAAGGAAGATGGGTTCAGCACCGGTGGTCGACTCGTGCTGGGCAATGAGAACCCCTTGCCATCCTGTGCAGATTGGAAGGTAGACGGTGGTGCGATTTTGGGCTGAAAATGGACTGGGCTTTGGCGTATGTGAGAAGGCCTGCTTCCTCTCAAATTCAATAGTAAGGCTGGTCGCCTTATGCACCGTCCTGGGTTTCTAAATCCTCACATTAGATCGGAGCTCCTCCTTCAACCCATTCAAGAACACCCCAAGACGATAGTGTTCTGGCCAATTCTTCACACGGGATGTGCGGCGTGCGAACTCCTGATGATATTCCTGCATCGACGGGGTTTGTTTGATGGCGCAGAAGAATTCATTAGCATTCTGAAATTTTGGCAGCCCATAATGCTCCTGAAGAATTTGGACGAGTTCATCCCAATATAGCAGGTTTCGTTCCGAATTGATCCATGAAAACAAGTCAAGCGCATCCCCTTCCAAATACATTGATGCCACATCCACTTTCAAGTCATCCGATGTCTCGTAATAACAGAAGTATTTCTCTGCCTTGAGTATCCACCCCCTAGGTCACCACCGTTAAATTTTGGGAATTCCATCTTGGTATGAGGCAGTCTAATTCCCCTGCGATACAAATCAGAATCATCTTCGCTGTCATCAGCAAAATGGCGATGCCTACCCTGTCCTCGGTCATTCCTAGCAGTAGCTGCTTCCAAGGTTGCTACTCTTTTAGCTATAACATTTAGAGTTTCAAGTTTAGAAGCTATAGCAACAAATGTCCTCCGTTCGGTTTCGAGAAGAGCGTGTCTCAACCATGGCTCTGATGCCAAAAATGGTATGCACTCTATCGGAAAAATCAATAATGCAGAAGAATAACACTCTAATCTTTCCCTCACAGTAAGTATCTCACTCTAGGAAGAGAAAATAGCCCTAGAGAATCTTTGAAAAATAGACTTAAATGGTATTTCACTCATGTCAGCTAACAAGGAGGCTAACATATTTATAGATTCAAATGACACTTGCAACAAAACGTAAAGCAACTAGATATCCCTACATTCTCAGGATTACAAGGAAAATGGGAAACATGCATAACAAGGTGGACCCTAACTGACCTGACAATCCTATTATTGTGCTAACTGACTCCATAAATCTGAATAAAAGAGATTAAACAATTTAGATAAAGCAAGAAAGACCAAGTCAGACTTTAACCGAAGTCCTTTTATTTCGCCTCTGATAAGTCATAGTTGGTTTACTAGGAATCTTATCAATGCCAGATTCATCGAAGTAATTGAAATCACCAAAACCAGGAATACCAACAAATCAAAATTGACACGTCTTAGAAGCCACAATGAAATAGCTATGAAATCAGGGAGTGAAAATTGGAACCACAAATCATAGCTAACAAATATCCTTGAAACCAAAATCAGACGTTTGAACAAGGATGAGATGTTGAGTGGCATTGCTGCAAAAATTGAACCAAGAAATCGCTTCACTCCTTGGGTAAAGAATGGCATTAGTTCATAAACCCAAAACCGTCTAGAATCTGGAACCATTGGCACCCACAATGCTCCTTTCTCTTGGTTTGGGTTAGTCTCGAGCACTGGCATGTGCCTCAGCGGTGGGGGCAAAAAAGAAAAAAAGGAAAAAAATGAATGGGAGAGGAAGATTGGGAAGTCAAAGGGAGGCTCTAGACAGCAAAAGAGGTTGGAGCAATCACATCTTCAGGCGGGCTGGTGCTTGTGGTCAGGTCATAGGTGGGTGCTTAGAATGAAGAAGGGTCAGATGAAGGGTATAATGGAGAAGAAGATATGAGAAGGCAGATGGAATTTGGGCTCCATAGGGCGAAGGATGGAATCCGATTCCATGAGTTTTGGTGGCAATGGAGTTGGAAAATTTTCCAATTCCATGCTACTGAACAAACATTTCTCCAAATTCCATTTCTAATTCCATTTCCACACTCCCCAATTCCACCATACCAAACTGGTCCAATTTGTTTGCTGTGAGACACGTATTGATTTGTATGTTTGTGATTACCCTTATGTTGAGAAAAGGTTGCTAGCTGCCGAAAAGGCGTGAACATGCTCCTAAATGAAGCTCAGACTTTTCATGCAGGCTTAACACTACTTTTCATCTGGTTGACCTATCACATTTTGATTTTAAATGGTGAGGCATAGGCAAAGTTTGATTTGTTGCTCCAATACCATTATAAGTTATTAATTTACCACTATAGTTCATTGTTATCACATCTAAGATTCCTAATAATTGGCAGAATTCTATTAAAAATTTTAGGGCAAAGTTTATTCTTTGGCTACTTCCTTATGAAGTCCTGAAGTAAGAGTTGGTCAGCTAGTGTTTTATTGTTAAGAAGTCTAAAATTTTAATTTCTTTCCTCCTTTCATTCGACTGTATATCCACTTTTCCGTTTTCTTCATCTTTTCCCCTCCCAAAGTGATGTAGTTTTACTTTTTTTGACATATTATTTTGTCATTTGCATTAAAGTGCAAGTGCAGCATGTTTTTAACACTTACAGTATGTCACAACAGACTATTTGAAGAACAAGGGACAGAGGAAATAATTCTTTTGTATGTATTATTCATTCTGAATGGTAACATGTATACAAAGAACTGAATCATGGCCCATTGATGGCGAGGCCGAGAATTATGGGATCATAATCAGGAAACAATTCGAAATTTAAATCCCTATTCTATTTACAATTAATTCCCACTATTCTTCCTATAATATCGGGATTCTCACACTATTATATTTTATTTTCTCCAGCGTTTGTATCATTACCTTGATCTTAAGTCAAAGCATCCAGATGCTGCTGTACCCCCTCTTGATAACACACTCAAGAAAATAACAGTACCTGATGCGGACCTACTTACGCAAAACAAATCTGTGATTGATACACTTCGTATGTCTTTTGAGCTCAAGGAAAACCCCAAAGTAAGAATATAAAATCCGTTTTCTAGTTTCCTTCACATGACAAATTTGACCGTTTATAACATTTGAGCTATTCTGCAGCGAAAAAAATCAAGAAACTTGCTGCAGGAAAAAGGATCTCATTATTGTGAAGGAGAGGATAAAATAAAGGTTACTGCTCTGCCTGTTGATCTCGTTGAACATGCACCCAATGTTAAAGTTGAGAAAATTGGAGATATAACTCCAGTCCAAGATTTTGAAGCCATGTTATCTCGTAGAGATAGTCCAGATTGGGTTGATAAAGCAATTAAGGGAATGAGTAATAAAATATTTGATCTGGTAGAGGATTCCCATAAAGGTGATAATTATCCTAAAGCACTGGAATATTTAATAGCACTTCGCAAGGGCTGCATCCTTGTGCAGGTAATCCATCTCCGCACTTTGCCATTTGAGCATAATGTGGCATAGCGGAGGCTTGACCTGATTGTTACTACTTTGAATTCCGTTTATTCATTTGTTGAGACTTTTTTGTCCGGCTGTTTTATAGTACATGGAAACTTATTAGTTCACGAACTTTTATTATTTAGGAACCTGAACTGTTCAACAAATTTCTCCGGCATCTTTGCAATTTCTGTCAGGAGAAAGATCTCAGGAGTTTCTGCGACTATCTTGTTTCTGGAGGAGTCACCTTGATCTCCAAAGCAGAAGCTGTAGACAGGTTTCTGCACCATTTCTTTCTTTGGTTTCATGGTTTGTTTCAACCAGTATTTTCATTTGGTTTAGCAGCTAATCATTGTTGTCTTATGTGGTATTTGGAACTCTATTGTACAGCGAAGCTACTGATGATGAGGCTAGAAGCTTCTTAGTAAAGTCTGAGCCAGTAGTCTTTTGAGGTTAAACATCGCAATTTATGCGCTGGAATATCTGAGCCTTGTCAACAACTGCGCACGTTTTGTTGGGTAAATAGGACATGATAAGCTAGAGAGAACTAGGACTTAATCAGTTTGGAGTTGTGTGTGGTCAATCCCTCTCATGAAGTCTTATTTATAGGGAAAAAATATAGTGCGAGTTTGTTTAAGTGTTGACCTTAAGTACAATGGACCTAAACATTAATGAATTTATACTCCATTTTGTACAGCATTTATTGTTGATATCATGTAGGTTGGACACACTGGATATAAAATTGTTTCACGCTTGCATGTATTGTGTAGTAGGAAAATGCTATTGAGAATATGCCATGGAGGAATGAATCCGGGATAGGCATGGCTTCTTGGGCTGGACTATGGTGAGTTGTCCATTTATTATATTAACCAAGAGACAGGAGTTTATGATCCTTTTCAGAGATGGTTTGATTTTTGATGTGTGTTTTAACGTTTAGAGAAGAATCTGAAAATGCTGCTAATCTATGTCATGACTAAACTCTAAGGACCGTTGTGGACTTAAATTGTTGAGAAGGTGAGTGATACGAACATTCATTCTTTAGCGGGTTTGCATTATAGTTGGGTGAGTGCTTAAGCCTCTCAAGGAGGCATTGCAGAAACAACTAAGATAACCGGAGCCCAATCCCCTCTGGAGAGAGAATCAAAATTCTGGGGCATGTTTTTTGAGGTTATGCCTCACTTTTGATCCTTTCCCTTTTTATTTTTGATTTTTGGGGGGAGGGGTTGCTTCCAGAATTCTTCCATAGTGGGTAGCGGCTTTTGCACCTTTCGAAATATGATACAATGTCTCTGAAGAATATTCTTGTAAGTCACCTTCCCAAAGTCTACTTATTCCTAGTTTGATATATATATATATTGCTAAAGTATAGGTATCTTGCTATTGGAGGCAATCTTATTCAAGACACTATTAGGTACTAAATGTAGGTATTTTTCTCAATGGGGATTTGAACCTTAATTCGTCATGGGATTAGCCCCTTTCATTAGGCCTAACCCCATTGGTATTCCTAGGTTGATATTGATTTGTAACATTAAATTCTTCTCTGAAGGGCCTTGTTGACTACTTTGCCTTTAAAAAGAAACAGATATGTTAAAAAGATTTGTTTTTTGCGCCAAAGATATGTTAAAAGAAAGTTGAGAAGCCTTTATTGCTCCAGAAAAAGACTAAATTGAAAAATAATCGTATTGCAGCATTTCTTTCTGAACATATTCTTGACATTGTCACAATGGTAATCAGTTAAAATTTTACGTTGGTTTTCTTCCTAGAAAATATCTTTCTAAAATCCATCTTTATTGATTGCATACAAATGGTTTGATAGCAATAAATATAAAGTTGGTTTAATAATATACATCTATAGTAAATTCAGTATTCAGATTAAATATTATCAGTGTGTGATTGAGTATTTTCTAAGTACTCCAAAAAATTTTGTAGTATATCTAACACTCACAAATATTTTTCAACATGTATGTAAAATCTTAAAAATAAAAAAGAAAAAACTTTAAAAACACCTGAGTGCATGAAGCACATTCATTTAACAAATTTTTTTTGGTCGAGTTAACTGTGAGATTAAAATCGCACTTAATAAAAATACTTTCATAACATGATTGCTATTAAATAAATTAATACTTTCAAGGCTAAATTGTACCACCAAGTATTTACAGTGTTAAACTCATTTGAAAACATACTTTAAATATATTACAAAATGTTTTAAAATATTAAATGCACCTTAAAAAATATCTCAAACCGCTGAACACACGTTGACCCTCGTTATTTTAAGGATTTGGCTTGGGTACAAGGGATGGCACAAATGAAACATACCACAAATGCGGCTTCTCTTTTCCCTGTATCTCAAAATCATTATTTACTAACTGCCTAAATTATTATTTTTTCATTCATGTCTCAATTAAAATAGTAAAAATAATCCATTAAAATTTGATTCAAACAGTCTAAAATCTGAGCAATTGAAGAGGAAAGGAGGGAAACCACTTTGTGTACCACATGCACCATGGGAGAAGTCCAATAAAAGGAGGACCAGTAAAAAGCAATATACCACCAAACAATCAAAAGCCTAAGCTAATTAGTATTCACATTGAGAAACTAAATGGTGAGAAAGAGGAGCCTCCCCTACAATTTGCAACCTTAAAGAGCGTAAAATATGAAAATCAAAGAATTCACTGAAAGTTCCCTACAATATATGTGGCAGCTGGGAATCCAATCTCTGCTGCAATTCCCTGATCTTCAATGAGAGTTCTTTCTTCTGCTCCTTGTAACTCTGAACCAAGTACTCTTTTCCTTGTATTACCTCTTTCAACTCTTCCACCTGCCTTTTTAGCATCTCAATTCTTTCCTCATCATCAACATCCCTTACCTTCTCAGGGCTCTCCCCATTCGAATGTTCTTTGGTATAGCCATTTCCATTCAAGGAAATATGTCCGACACAGTGATCTGCAATAGCTTTTCTCAGCCTTTGGATCTCTCTCTCCGAGTTAAGCAATTCCCTATCTACAGCATCAAGCTTTGATTGCAAATGAGAAGAAAGTTGCTGCTGATCATCAAGTGAATTTTGCAATTCAGCCAACTGATCTTGCATCTCTAGAATCATTTCGTCTCTCCTCTTCAATTGTTGCCGCAGTTTCTGAATGACTTCTCGCTTACTATAGATGTCAGAACCCGATTCTGACACACACGGTGAGTCTGAGCAGTTTGAATGGTGGAATGGACGTGAAGGCAACTCAAGACCATCAGGAGAGGATGACCAGATGACATCATTATCCTTGCTAAATTCAGCATTAGAAACGGTCACCAAAGGGAGTATCCCATCAGATTCACTCAACATCTGGCCCTTTATTGGGCCCTTGACATCCATTGGACGTCCATTTCCTATTTAAGACATCAAACGCACAAATCATGTCAGATGCAACTCTTAACAGATCAAACATGTCCACATGTTTGAGGCAGGAAGCTGTCCTGTCTAAAAGGATGTTAGCCAGGGTAAGAGATGTAAGAAGAAAATTAGATTTCTCCATGTCTGCGTTGAATCATATTTTCAAACTACAATCATTAAGCACCAACGATTTATTTTTCTGTTATTTACTGAGCGATCATTTCCAAAGTGGAATATTCCCATGCAAACAATGAAATATCCATTGTCCACACAATTGAAAATTACAAGATTCGAACCTCATTACTAATTTGAAACCCTAACAAGAGGACTCCATCTATGGTGTGATTATGAGCAATCATGATCAATTTGTTTGCATCCCTTAGATCCTCTCATCCTGATTGGAAATGACTGTGAACACTGACACCAAAAAATATAGCAAATGCCGCAAATATTCCACAAATATTTACCATCACGAACCAAACATGGAAATTTCATATTCCTGGAAATTGCATTTCCAGTAATGGTTTCAGCATGGGAATGTTTTGTTCTACGTAAGTTTTACCAAAAGACAATCTATTGTAGTAGTCAACAACAAAACAATGTCTGTGACCCAACATATTCAAAAATAAATCTATTGATACAAAAAACCTATATAAGTTTTTGATTGGGGGAAGATAAACACAAGAAAAGTCAGTTGTCAAACATGCAATAACAGGTGGTCATCAACTATCAGGAACCAAATATGATCATAGGAAGAAATTTAAACCTGAAATGCAACTGAAACAGCCATGGCTATCCTGTTTAGGAAAATATCCATTAGATTGACAGCAGCAATCTGCTGGATTTCTTGGGTTGAAAGAATTTGCATGTCCTGAAGTTAAAAATAAGGAAGTTAGAATCTTCTATAGATAAAGCAGAAAATCAACACCATTGAAATTAAAGAACCTTTTTGAAATTTTGGAGCATTCTCAGCCCGCTTTGAGTTGAGGGACTGCTTCCACTTGAATCCAAGGCGAATTGACAAAGTACTCAACAAAGCACCGACACCAATGAGGAGCCAATTAGTCCCCTCCCTTTGAGAATAATTTGTTTTCTGAACTCTTGACATCCCATTGTCTTGTGACTTCATTTTAGAAGCTAAAAGAATGATGTAAACTATTGATTAACCAAGAAAGTGAAAAAACATGCTAAGTTGCTACCTCTATTAATATGCAGGCCAAACAAAAGCAGCAAACTAATATTTTGTATACACAATACACTAGCAGATATTCAGCCTGGGGAAGAAAACGGAATCACATAAATGGAAAAAGCACATAAGCCCAAAATAACAGTAGCAAATAAGACAAACACTGCAAAAACGAGAAGCTTTTGCTACTACCGGATACAGAATCTAAAATCATAACAGAGTCAGTAATGTTACTAAATTCAAGTTTGAAAAAGACACATTATTATACAACCGCAAATTGTTTATCGAATTAAAAATCATGAAGAATCCAATCCATACACAGCAACTGAAAGCTAAATATATAGAATACCAATGCATACATAAAGTTACTTGTCAATTCTAGAAAGTGATATCATTTAAAGTATAATGTCTAAATGTTCAATAAGAAAGCTTACCTACTTACATTATATGAAAATTCCAACTTCTGCAACTTGTTCATGAGTGAGCAGATCCTTGATAATCACTGAAATTCAATCAAAGAAAAGGCAAATGATTTGACATGAAGAAAAAAACAACCGTAGCTAGTCAGCATTTCAGCCGTTGACCTAGCATCAAGCCCAAAAAAGTTAAGCAATTTCCCAGGGCTATCAAATATAGTGACAAGTAATTGACAAGACATCGTTATAGATCATAGTAATCCAGATAACATATAACTGGCAAGTGTGGTGTCAGCTGCCAAATACATTATAAGGAAACGCGTTTATGAGTTGAGTACCATTTAAATTCATTATAGAATTTTAAATTATGTAATTAGTTCACATAAACTACCACCATGCGGGTTCATTCACAAGCTAACTGCTTTGATGCCACTAAAGAAAGCTTAGGATGACCTTAGAAACCATTAGGTTTTGCATTTCAAAAGCATATCTGGACTTGAACATCTTTGAACAGCTAAAAACGAAAACAAAGTTTTGATACGTCAAGCCAGCGCTGATCTAGAAAAAAATTAAAAACAATAAAAAAAAAGCACGCACGCACTATATATCAGTCATTTTAAGACCTTGATTGGTTTCTGCAGACTGTCGCCCCATACCAGCTAGCATTGACAGAAGCATATGGTCTAGTCCTTGACATTAAAGACTTACTTACAGTAGAAAAAGACTTCATGATAAAATAAGAAAACACGATAAAACCATAACCCCTCAATATTTCTCGAAGGAGAGACAGACGAGCACTGGACTCTACTAGTTTCCTTGTTCCTTCGCGTACTCCCTGCAATTCTTCCTCTCTTCAATCTACTAAGTGTCAAATTTGTTCTAATCTAACAGTTCTTTGGTCATATTCGCTCAACAGTTCATCGGAACTTAGAATTCGAACCACGAAAAAACAAGTGGTTTCAATATGCAATACCTTCCAATGTCCTCGGCCATTACTTTCCTTTGAAGACATTTACTACTTTCAAGATAATACCAACAAAAAGTGGCTAATCAACAAAGTTTTGAATGGAAAATGGCCTTGAACAGCGACAGACAAAGAGAGAACCTGAAGAAAGACGATGGAGTAGGATCATTCATTGCCCTGATCGACGATGAGAACGGCGATTCACTGAGTGGCAAGAGCGAGCACTGAACAGAGAAAAGCGAACGAAAAAATAAAATGAGAATTATTAAAAAAAAAAAAACTCAAAATACTACGCGGAGGAACCGAGAAAGGCCAGGAAGGCAGCAGGTGGGCCATACTCAATCCAAATTAACATCCGACAATATAAAATTTTCAATTTTATAATTCGAATTTTTGTTTTAAAAGTAGTGAAAATTAATATAAAAATTAATATAAAAATTAAGCTGTCAGTCAGCATATACTAACTCTGATTCTTAATATAAAAATTAGTTGAATAATTTGAGTAGATGAAGAAAGTTAGTTGAGTTAGTTATTTGTAATAAATAGATGTTGTCTTCCCCTATAATATTCTTACGAATCAAGTATATTAGCTAGAATTATTATTATTATAATGACTATATTAAAAAAATATGAATATGAAAGACAAAATGGATTATTATATTATATTTAGGACCAAAATATAAGTCAAACGAGTTTTTATATTAAGGACTAAAGGTAGCATATAGCTTATGGTGGGAAAAAAAAACATGTATACAGCTGGTCAAAAAAATCAGCATATATATATATATATATATATATATATGTCTATATAGATTAACTTTGCTCATGTATCTTTTTTTTAATGGAAAATGACAAAAATCGTCATTGAATTTAAAAAGTGTGAATCTTATAATTTGATAGAATTACCATATTCTTTATGATTTTTTTTTAAACAATCTTAAGTCCCTCTTACCGCTGGGGGGCTGCTAGTCGTTGATGATACCGAATTTATTAATAGTATTGAAGAACTTGGTAACTGCATTGTAGGACAAAAATTTTTCTATTTATTATGTCATGATTAATCTCTCAAAACGTAAAAAAATTTTTTGGATGATGTAATTAATGGCATAATGAAAATTGTTAATAGCATTAATGGAGTTGTTAATATTATTATTAGAGTTGTTAATCACGTATGAATGTTTAAAAAACCTTAGTTTAAAAACTTGAAAAACACCTAGACAATGGATTTATGGAGTTGTATCATTACAAGAATTATTAACAATAGGTTTGTAGATAATTCAAAAAGTGGTATTTTTATAAATTTAATAATATAGCTGACAAGTCATATAGTAACATTAACGATTCTTATAACATCGAAGCTTTGGTGGAGATGGCCTACTTGAACTCCAGCATGGGCCACTTGTGCTAGAGATTTAGTGGTTGGTAAAAAATTTTCTTTTTACCATTTTAGTATGCATATGGAGGATTACGGTTCAAGCAGATCACGAAATAAGCTTGTAGATTAAAATTTTGAAATTTGATTCTCAAGTTATTATTCACTGGTAAATTCCAAATTTTTTATCCAACTTCAAAAATTCATAATTAATTTTAGAAAAATTGTATAGAGGTGATTCAATTCTCCATTTAAAGCTCTTTTAATTCTCTACAAGAAAAAAAATATAAATATGGATTTAAACCTTCTCAATTTATACAGTTAATTATGGATACTATTCATTTGGTAAAAACTATACTTTTTAGTTTCTCTACTCTAATTTTGAGCAGTCATAACTCTTAGCATACACATCTATTTTAAGTAATCTACCATTGTTTTAAAGCTCCAGATGTGTACTTTAAGCATATCAAATTTTATGAGTAGATTCAAACGTTTGCCTTACTTCTACTCTGTCACAAATTCATGACGCATTTAGGGATAACTTATTCCTCTTACTTGTATTAATAATTCATATTTGTTTATTTCTTATTTCATAACCTTACTAACATTGCATAATTCATTTTCATGTATCACATGCTATCATCATCATCATCATCATTTATCATCACATAACATTAAGACGCATGTATATATATTTACACACACATATTAACATAAAGATTACACTAAATACATAGCCACAATAATCACTTTCTTCTCTTCTTTCTTTGTTTTTCTTCTTGCATTCCTCTTCTTTTACACATCATACTTATTATGGTTGGTTAAGGGAGGGTGAGATTCGGAAAAATTTCAGTAGCAAACATTACTATTATAATGCATAATAGATGCAAGTATATGTCATGCTTAGTTACATACACCTTCATATTTATAAAATATCGTGCTCATATGTTCAACATTTCAAATACACATGGCCATGAATTTTCGCAAGAAATGGAGCAACATTTAACCATTCATACTTTCATTCATCATCAAACAACATCAAAACACAAAGCATACATATCAGGCATATGAAATAGGTAAGTTTACTACCTTATGTCTTTAAGCTTCATCTTGCTCTTTTTTCCTCCAACCATTTAGGTTGCTTGCTTAACCTTGCCATTTATCTTTCTTGGTCTTCATCAAGGCCATAAAAATCACTAAAAACCCGTACTTTCAAACTTGACTTCTCGTTAACTTAAATTTTTTTTCTTTCTTATTCTTAACTTCCAAAATCATTCTATTGACCATTTCCCACTCAATTTGTAATGAGAAATTCAAATATGAGCTTGGATTTAACAAAATTTAACTTCTTTGAATCTCACTTGGCCAAGATGTTAGGGTCTGGAATCCAAAATTTTTATTTTTAATTTTAATGCTTCTAAATTTGTTTCCTCACTTATATCCTACACAATTTAACATTCTAAACTCATTGGAAGTATCAAGATTATCAAAATCCAACCATAGCCTCAAGAACCAGCCTTGGCTAAAATATATTGCTAGGTACACACTCATGAAATCTTTCACAAATCATCTCAAAATCACTTGATTCTCATCCCTTTTAGACCTTTAAATATGATTCTAACATGAGTCAATCTTTTTCATGGTTTAAACATAATTGAATAGCATCTCAACTTAGGGTTTCAAGCTTTCAAAATCCCTCAAAATCATAGCTAAGCTTAGGAAAATATAAACCTAGACAAACTACATCAAAAACCATGCTCTAACCCTTGATTTAGCACTTGGTTTCACTTAGATTTGACTTGATCTTCTCTTCCTCCTTCTTCCTTCTTCCTTCTTCCTTGGCTGAGTCTTCCTCTTTCCTTTGCTCTTGAAGTTGGCCAAAAATTTGGCCATGAAAGAGGGAATGAGGTATTTATAATGTAAGCCAAATTTACTTTATGACCTTTACCATGCACACTTGTCTTCCATCAAGCCTAATCCCTTCTTGATTTTGGCCACATAAACCCTCTTAGGTGTCCTCATTATTCAATGCCGAAGCCATCTCATGGGACACCTTATAACATGTGCAAAAAGTATAATATTTTATTACACTATTTCTTCCAAGCATACCCCCTTAACAACTTATACAATTCCATCCATATTCCCTCATCAAATTTGCATTGAAATAGGTCGACAGATAAAGAAGAATTCGTGCATAATTATTCCATTGGTTGTTCCTTAACCTATTTTACGATTGTACATCATATCGAGTATTTTTTTGGGTCTTGACTAACCCAATAATCCCGAGACATGTTCTGACACCTTTTTTTCATTCTAAATAATTTTACATGGCATTATATAACATACATACAGAGGGAGGGATGTTCTTCCCTTTGTTCTTTTATTAAAACATTTAAAAATATTTATTTTGAAGTAAACTTAACTAAATTCTTTCTATTGGACCATAACTCTGAGAATCTATCTCTGGGTACCAATATTACATTTTCATCACAAGGAATTTTTTTAATTTTTCTCAAGTCAAAAGTCAACCTGTAGATAGTTTATTTTAACTTTTCTCAGATAGTATATAAATAGGTTTTAAATTCTATCAAAGCTAACCTCTTTGCTTTGTGGGAACAAAATCATTTTTAAAACTTATGATAATATCTCAAGTATTTATTCCCAATTTATCTCTAATTATTTGGGGTCTCCTTGTATTTTAAATAATTCAATTTTGACTATTATTCATAATTAGCCAAATCTCAAGAATTTCACCAATTTGCTCTAAGGATATTTTTGTCACTTTCAACCCCATAAAGGCCTTAGAATCTCATTTTTCATTTTTTAAAGAATTTTTTGGGATTTTTTGGGCGTACTTCCCATCACTATCGTTTTTGGTTTGAAACTTTCTAAATTTATGATTAGCTCCCTATTTGGGTTTAGCCTCAAGAATCATCTTATTGATATTCTCAGCACAACCTTTAGCCCTTAATCATCTCCAATTCCTATACTCGAGGCATCAAGACTTTATCGAAGTCTCTAAATTGCCTATGTCGTGGTTCCAGAACCTCTTACTTTATGATTTAGTCCCTAGGAATCTTCTTATCCTTCTAAAGAACTTCTAAAACTCTTGCCAAAAGATGTCTAATAGCCTACCTATTTTAGGTTAATTTTAATACTTCTAGGTTCAAAATCTGGGATGTTACAACTAGCCAAATGGTGAAGGGACTTCATTTTTTTTTTTTAAAAAAAAAGGTAATGATAATATGGTCATTCTATCAAATTATAAAATTTTGATTTTGTCATGTGTGTTTAACTGAGAATTTCTCTTATTCATGTGACTATTTAGGGATTATTAAATTAAACAATTATTTTTCTATCGTGTTTTTTTTTTTAATTTTTTCCCCATAATCATGTATCTTAATATAGGCAAAATCAGTTATATAATACGTTATATATAGACGTGAGGAGACAACTAAGAGCATTCATTTTTTTTTATGCTGATAATATAAAATTTTTATCATCATTTCAATTTCATTTTTATTTTATTTTGTAACAACTTACATGTCACCTAATTAGTTAGCATCCACGTTAATCCTAGTCAATGAAT